TTTTTTTGGAGATTTGTTTTTGTAACATAGTGAATATAGTATTTAAAGTGGTGTGTAACGGTCACATTCTTTTTGGAAATGGTTTGGTCCATTAATGGGTTTTAGACACGAAAAACAATATTGCTTGAAACATCCACTACAGACAATCCAATTATCGTCACCGATTTTAACATTGAATTTATTACATGAATTATTCGGACATCGTTTCACTCGTTTGACGATAGCAGAACCAACAAATAATCGATTATTAATTAAAATCTTCGTATCTTGCTTATTTTCATCCTCTGCCAATTGATTTGAATCAGTCTTTTCGATGTTTTGTTCAGATACTTTAGCTAAAAGAAAATCCAGATTCTATTTAATATTGAAATAATCTCTTTTACAAACCTGTATCTGATTTTTTATTTAATTCTTCTTTGATAGATTGTACTAACATAGCATTAGAAGAATGATATAACAATGAAGTTATTTCAGGAGGTCGTGGTCCTTCTGGTGACGACCAAGTAAAATGATAATCGCATCTTGAACAATGCATATGTGAACAACCACCATTTTTTTCAATTCTTGCATGACAATTTGGACATGGTTGAGTATTAAGTACTTCCATTCGTTCAGCATTTAAAATCTTTTCTAATAAAATATCTTCGTCAGATAAGTCAATGGCAATTTCACGATAATGTTGTTTAACAAGATTTCTTTCAGCTAAAGTTGCTTTTTGTTTTTCAATTCTAGCTAATTCTGCAAGAGCTTTTTCTCGTTCTTTGGCAAGTCTCTTTTGATCTTTTTCTTGTACTTTTCGATTTCTTTCACTTTCTTCTTCCCGTTGCTTTGCAATTCTTTCACGTGCTTTTTGTTGTTGTAATTTTAATTGTTCATTTAAATAATCTTTTGGACACATTACTTGAAAATGATAAATTTCTTTACATTTTTTACAAAATGTATAACGACATTGATCACATATCGCTAAGTTATCATCACCACTTCCGATAAGAACAGCAGATTGACATCTAAATTAATTAGTCTTTCCTTAGTGTAACATCTTCGAAGCAAAATATCTTATTTTGATCAAAATACAACTTACAGAGATATGGCAGATCTTTAGCATTAGGTTTTAGATAATGTTACATCAAGATTTGTAAGAAGATCGCGAAAAAAATATTCTTATTAGAAGGTAATTATTGAAAATCATTCTTGTATCAGTCTGAGTAGTCTCACCGATATAAAGTTCACCACTAAATGTGGATTTGAAGTGAGCTGTTTCACAAACAAAAACAAAAATTTAATTAGAAAGAATGTTCGAGACGGTCGTTCATATGACCATTCTTAAATATAAAGCATGCTTTCATGGAACAGTTCAGAACAATCTACGTAGTTCTGAACAGTAGCAAAAGAATATAGACCAAATACTATTCGTAAAATTTCTAGTAGAAGATGATTACACATTATCTTTAGATCAGTAAGATTTCTGTCGATTGTATCTTGCTCCGAAGATGTTCGATTACGGTTATGAATCTATTTGTTACTGACCTTGGACACCATATGATATCATTCATTAATTCTAAACCATGTTGTAATGTTAATCTTTCATATCTTTGATATAACTGATCATCTTGAATAATTAATTTCATTTCATTTGGAAGTAATGCTTTTTGACATTGATTTTGTGGACAAAGAAGTTTTTCACCAAATCTTCCATTATCAAATGTTATTTTAACATAATTATTTAAACATGATTGACAATAGAAATGTCCACAATGATAAAGACGAATACAATCTATTCCTGAAATAATATCTGTACAGATTAAACATGTTTGAAGTTGATTTCGAAATTGTTTTTCTTTTTGTTCATTATTATAATTAATTAAATATTGATAAATTTGATCAATATTCTCATTTAAATATCCATTTAACCCTTTGAGGACCAGCGTACTTTATAAAGTACACATTTTTTTAAGTTTCTAAATATTTCAATAACTCGTGAACGCAAAAAGATATTAAGAAGCGGTTTGCTCTATGACATAGAAAAGACTTCTGTGCATACATCTATAGAAGAATCGTAACCTTAATGGAGTCACTCAGGTAGTAAACTTGAAGAGCTTTTGGGATACCACCTCCAGAAGAAGGAGGGCAGCTAATGCTCTTTCGCGGTTCCCTAAATATTTCGCTTTTCTACATTAGAATCAAGTTAGGATTGACTCCTTGTAATATTCCGAAGGTCAGTTTTGCGATAGCTCTCAGTCGAGTTTTGACCACACCCGTACTCCCCTACGGGGATGGGTCAAAAATGACTTTAAAGATTTTTAAAAATTTTTGATGAAAATATTCACAATACACACTGTCAATATTAAATATAAAATCTAAAAGAAATTTCGTTCATTGGTTGAGCAATGGTCCTCAAAGGGTTAATGCTCGTGGATCATTGATTTGTTCATCATCGAGTTTGGTATGAAGGATAAGTTCGTTACTAATTTGATTTTTAATCAATTCGATCCAATCATAAACACAAACTTCACCATTTATCAATGGATAATTATCAAGTTTTTGGCAAAGATTCTCTAAAGATGATGTTGAAAAATAAAAACATGAAAGAATAAATGGGTGGGTGTG